TTTTAGGGGCTAAGTAGTTTTTTGGAATGGTGAGAAAATAATAGTTATGATTGCTTGTAAGCATTCAGTTAAACTAGCAGAGTCCAGACAGGACAACTCTGCAACTATATCAGGGAGGGGCAGCTGGGGGCGGGGGGAGACAGAAAGCCATTCCCCACTCCAATCCCATACAACCTCATTTCAAGGCCACTTCTAATATTCCAGAAATTACATGTCAAGAAATGGCAGAAACTGAGGTGAATGGAAGATGGTGGTGGGGGGGGGGGGGGGAACAATATTGTTTGTGTTGTCAAAGGCTTTCATGGTTGGAATCACTGGGTTGCTGTGAGTTTTCCAGGCTGTCTGGGCATGTTCCAGAAGCATTCCTTCTGACGTTTCACCCACATCTATGGCAGTCATCCTCAGAGGTTGTTAGAAACGAGACAAGTGAAGTTTATATATCAGTGGAATAAATTTATATATCTCTCCCACCCTGGACATTCCACAGATATAGAAACCCATCTTGCCTAGTTTCCAAAAGACCTCACAACCTCTGGGAATACAGATGTGGGCAAAATGTCAGGAGAGAATGCTTTTGGTACACGGCCATACAGCCTGGAAAACTCACAGCAACCCATTATTTTTTGTGTTGGTTTGAATGTTTTTGTTAAGTCTTTTAGATTAAAAAAGCTTGTTTTGGGGAGATCCAGGGGTCTCTGGAGAGATTTGAAGCTCTACAATAATCCTGCAGGGCCCACACATTACCTATGGGAGGCACGTTTCCCACTCTGTGAAGTAGAGATACAACAAACAAAAGAGAGGCTCACAATGAGCAAAAATTCTCACCAACAGCAGGGGGAGGAAGGAGCAGCAGGGAGTCTGGTAAGATTCCATAGGTATAGGCAAACAGCAGCAACCTGTTGGGTGATGGTGGTTACAGGAGTTATGGATTTGGCTTTGGCATTCTTGTGAGAAAACAAACAAGCCTTTAAGCAACTGCAGGTGGGAGCACAGCCAGCCCAGAGCAGGTGGAACAAACTGGCCATTCATTTCACCAGGACTGACTTCTGCTGCCTGCAAGTGTATTTATGTAAAGCCTACTTAATACTACACCTAGAAGTATCCCATCTAATTTCATTCAACTATGCTGGAGCCCCTGATGGCACAACGGGTTAAACCCTTGTGCTGGCAGGACTGCTGCCTGTATCCGGAGAGCAGGGAGAGCTCCCATCTGTCAGCTCCAGCTTCTCATAAAGGTACATGAGAAAAGCCTCCCATAGGATAGTAAAACATCCGGGTATCCCCTGGGAAACTTATTATTATTATTATTATTATAACTTTATTTGTACCCCGCTAGCATCTCCCGAGGGATTCGATGCGGCTTACACAGGCTGAAGCCCCAAAACACAGTACAACAATACCTAAAGCAAATTAAAAAGTCAAGCAGGAAAAACAATAACAGTAACAATACAACACAACACTATTAAAACTGGGCCAGCCAGAGTAGGGGTACATGGTTAAAAGTGCTGATGTGGCGGGAGGAATGTAGGATTATAAAGTAAGGACAGTGTACAGTGTGCAGTGATCTGGTTCTACTAAGTGCTTCAAGGACTTGGTGCTGGGGGTTCCTAATCTGAAAAGGCACATCGGAACAGCCAAGTCTTCAAATTCTTTCTGAAGACTGCCAATGTAGGGGCCTGTCTGAGATCTTTCGGGAGGGCGTTCCAAAGTCGGGGGGCCACCACAGAAAAGGCCCTGTCTCGCGTCCCCACCAAGCGCGCTTGCGACGCGGGCGGGATCACGAGCAGGGCCTCTCCTGATGACCGGAGTGAGCGTGTGGGTTCGTAGACTGTGATGCGGTCTCGCAGGTAGGGTTGTCCCAAACCGTTCAGGGCTTTGTAGGTAAGCACCTGCACCTTAAATTAGGCTCGGAAAATAAACGGCAGCCAGTGGAGCTCCTTAAACAGGAGGGTTGACCTCTCTCTGTAATGAGCCCCGGTTAACATCCTGGCTGCTGCCCGTTGGACCAATTGGAACTTCCTAGAAGATGGTCAATTCTCTCACACCAGACTTGCAATTTCTCAAGTTGCTCCTGACACAAAAAAAATCAACTACACTGACCACCCAAACTCAAAGTTTCTGGCTTATGGAGCTGTGTGAAAGTCCGGTTGGTTTTTGATGAACAGCATGGCCATAACAGAGGGCCCTGGGGTGCAGTTACCATGAGGCCCTTCCTGCCTAGCTTTTCTTACCAAACGTATTGTCCAGATTGGTCCAAGGCAGAGCAGGGGCTGCAGACTCCTGTATACCCAAAGGAAGGAAAAATGGAGGGGGCTCCTGTAACTTCAATGGTAGTGTACTGAGCAGAGATTTCCCCATGTGTTGCCTGCTACCCAGTTATGTGACAAGCAGCCACACCTGCTGAAATTCCCTTTTCTACACAGGCATTAAAACCACCAGCACACTCTCCAGTTTTTTATTTGGAAATCCTATTCACATTCTATCAGCTTGGACTTTTCCTTTGGATACCTAAACTGTCTTCTAAATGGTTCCACTGAAACTTTAAGTTGCTCCAATGGGGGACAGAAAAAAATGCCTTGGCTGAGTTGGGTTGGGGACAACATCCTCCTTTTTTCCCCTGTGGCTGTGACCCTGAATGGAGTCCTGCCAAGATCTGTTGTGCCTCCAGCAGTTCCCTGTGCAAAAAAAAAAAAAAGACCCTTTGAAGTATTTTTTGCAGATACTACCTTGGAGAGTAGGTAGGAATGATGGGAAAATGCCTTTTTGTGACTCATAGAATTGTTCATTGGGTTGGAGACAGTGCCCTCTTGGTGTCTCCTAGTAGCTCTATCCCAAAGCAGAATCACAGAAAGTGTGGTTTTGCATTTAGCATTTCTGCTTCACCATTTGCAAGAAAAATAATGCCTTGAGGTACTTTCACAACTTCAAGATATTACCTGGGGGGGGGGGGGGGGGGAGACTACAATTCCCAGAATCTGGTCATGCTGGTGGGGGAGATTCAGGGATTGTTGTGGTTTATTTATTCGTTCAGTTGCTTCTGACTCTTCATGACCTCCTGGACCACCCCATGCTAGAGCTCCCTGTTGGCCAAGGCCACCCCCTGCTCCTTTAGAGTTAAGCCAGTCACTTCAAGGATGCCATCCATCCATCTTGCCCTTGGTCAGCCCCTCTTCCTTTTTCCCCAACATCATTGTCTTCTCCAAGCTGTCCTGTCTTCTCATTATGTGGCCAAAGTGCTTCATCTTTGCCTCTGATATCCTTCCCTCCAATGAGCAGCCGGACTTTATTTCCTGGAGTATGGACTGGTTGGATCTTCTTGCGGTCCAAGGCACTCCCAGAATTTTCCACCAACACCGTAGTTCAAAAGCATCTATCTTCCTTTGCTCACTTACTTACTTAGTTAGGCAATCCCTCGTAGATCAAGGATGATGGTCTTCCAGATGTGTTGTCTTGGCTGTGGAGCCCTATTCTTGATCTGCATGTTCTCCTGCAGTGAGGACATCATGTCAGGGTTGACTTGATGCACCTTCCTCTTGGCACATTTCTCCTTTTCGCCCTCCATTTGTGCCTCTTTGAATTCTGCAGCACTGCTGGTCACAGCTGACCTCCAGTTAGAGCACTCAAGAGCCAGGGTCTATGCCACAGTTTTTAAGGTTGGCTTTAAGCCTATCTTTAAATCTTTTTCCCTGTCCACCAACATTACGTTTCCTGTTCTTGAGTTGGGAGTATAGTAACTGCTTTGGGAGATGGTGATTGGGCATTCGGACAATGTGGCCCATCCAGCAGAGTTGATGGCAGAGGAGCATCAATCACTTCAATGCTGGTGGTCTTTGCTTCTTTCAGCACATAGACATTTGTTGGCCTGTCTTCCCAAGAGATTTGCAGGACTTTTTCGGAGTCAGTGGTGATGAAATCATTCCAGCAGTTGCGTATGACCTCTGTAGATAGTCCACGTTTCACAGGCATATAGCAGGGTTGGGACACTGGCTTTATAAACAAGCACCTTGGTCTCCCTACAGATGTGCTGGTCTTCAAACACTCTCAGCCTTCCTTATGGCCCAGCTCTCGCATCCATAGGTTACTATGGGGTGTTGCTAGTGTGATGTCTCTACTCTTCCCTCTTTTATGGAGACTGGTCATTCCTCTCCTCCCAAGAAGTGAACGTCTTCTGATTTCCTGGCTGCAGGATTGATATCCCCCCAAACTAACTTTAGTAACCTCTGGTTTCTGGGCCAGGAGGAGAAGGGCACGGACTGTGACCCGGTGGGCACCCAGGAGAGCCCGGCCTTGGCCAGGCCAGCCCTGCCAGAGGGAGGGATTTCACCTCAAACGGGAGGGAAGAGCAGGCCGGGGAGCCGAGGCGGGCCTCTCCTGCCTTTCTGCGCCTGGTTGTCCCGCAGCTCAGCGAGACCTGAGGGAGCCCAGGCGGAGGGGGGCTCAGCTAACCGGACGGGAGAAAAAGGTCCTCCTTCGGGAGAAAAAGGTCCGCAGGCTCTGTTGCACCCCGAGGAAGCGGAGGGGTGGCTGTGTGGGAGGAAGGGGGAGCGGGCGGGTGGCGGAGGCAGGCAGGCAGGCAAGCCCCGGAGGCGCAGCCGCACCCAGAACCGCTTTGGCGAGTTTCCCCCGCCGAGGAGGGGCGGAGAAGGGCCCCTCGCATCCGGGGCATTCATTCCACCTTAAAACAGCCCCGGGCCTCACCTGCTGAAGGTGGAGCCGCTCTTCCCCGCCTTGCCGAAGCCTGTCCCGCCACCGAGGTCAGTCAGTCAGCCAGCCAGTGAGTGAGTGGCGAGGAGAGGGAGTGCCGGGCTCAGGAAGCCGAGCCCTGCCCGAAGAAACTTTCCGGCGGCCTGCCTGAGTCAGCGAGGGCGGGCCCGGCAGGCCCTCCCCCCCCCCCCCCCCCCCCCCCCCCCCCCCCCCCCCCCCCCCCCCCCCTCCCCCCCCCCCCCCCCCCCCCCCCTCCCCGCCCCCCCCCCCCCCCCCCCCCCCCCCCCCCCCCTCACCTGGGACGCCGCCACCGCCGCCGCGCGGTCCCTTGCCTCTCGTGGCCTGCGCGCACGCACGAGCCTGCCTTTGGGCTGAGACTAGGGAAAAGGCGCGCGGAAGCCCCCCGAGCGAGCGAGCGAGCGAGCGAGGAGCGGGAGGCCAGTCTGCCAGGGACGGGGCGGACGGGAAGGGGCCCATGCAGGAGACTAACTTCTTCTTGTCGGCCCTGCAGCCGGAGGATGGCGTCTGCTCCCTGGCGCTGCCCTCGGACCAGCAGCTGGACAGGAAGGGCAAGGAGGCGCCCGACAGCGAGCAGCTCAAGAGCGCCCGCGTCCAGGAGCAGGTCCGCCTCCGGATGCTCCAGAAGAGCCACTCCATGCCCCGCGCCAACGGGCCCGCCGCGACCGGCTACGCCGAGCTCAAAGGTAGGACGGGGAACGGGGGCGGAGGAGAGGGGGGGGGGGCGCTCTGGAGCCAAAGGGAAGGAACCAGCCGGGCACCCTTAGGGAGGGGTCACACTTGTGGCCCTCCAGGTGCTTGCACCTTCAGCTCCCAGAAGTCCGAGCCAAGCAAGGAATTCTGGAAGCTGAAACCCAAAACAGCTGGAGAGCCACATGTTTGACACCGCCAGGGTCTATCTCGGTGGTTCTCCACCAGGGGGTCCCCAGATGTTTTGGCCAATAACTCCCAGAAATCCTAACAGCAGGGAAACTGGCTGGGATTTCTGGGAGTTGTAGGCCAAAACACCTAAGGAGCCACAGGTTGAGAACCGTTGGTCTGTCTGGTCTTAGAAACTAAGCAGTGTCAGCCCTGGTTAATGCATGGAAGGGAGACCCTCAGGGAATACCACATGCTGAAGGTTATATCTCATAGGAAGGAACTGGCAAAACCTCCTCCAAGTATCCTATGCCTAAGAAAATTCTACAAAGGAGTATCATAAGTGACAAGGCACATCCATACTATATCAGTTAGCATAGCAACTGGGAGATTATAGCCAATTGACATCCCAAAGTAATTTTTTATAACCCCCCCCCCCCAAATCACTTTCCCCAAACTTGAAAATATGGCACCACCTCTCAGTGGTGTCGGTGAGACTGTTGTCGGGGTGGCTCATGGGGTGGCCTTTGCATAGAGCACAACCTGTGGCTGTTCCCAACCTTTGGTCCTCCGTGTGTTTTAGACTTCAACTCCCAGAAATCCCAGCCAGATGACTAGCTGTTAGGAATTGTGGGAGCTGAAGTCCAAAACACCTGGAGGACCAAAAGTTGGGGACCACTGCTCTGGGAGTTTTGGACTTCTGCTCCCAGAATTCTGGCTAGGACTCTGGGACTTGGAGTCTCAAACACCTGGAGTTTGAGTTGTGCAAACCTGGTGTAGACCTTGTTAACCAGGAGTAGTCAGCATTTTACAAACCATGAGAGGTGTTTACAGATTCTTTCATGGAAGGCAAGATGAAGTCACTGAGTCCGCTTGGTCAATGGTTGTTGGCCACCCACTGAGTTGATGGGCATGCAAGGTGAGCTGTGAAGCTTGGGGCCCTCTGCCTTTCAAAGTTCATACTCCTCACCTCTACACTACACCCTTTTCTGCTTGCTGAGTGAACTCTTCACACTTCCTTTGTCTCCTACTCGACACAACTTAAAATGGGGGAAGAAAGTGATTATAGATTGGAGGGGTTGGCCTGCTTGTGCTGCTTCCAGGAACAGGGCTATGCTAGGAAAGCAGGCTTGAGGAGAGCAATAGCAACAGTCTGTGTTGTTTCCACAGGGTTGCTATTGTGCCTCATTCACACCATTGCGAAGGAGAGAAGTCTGGTCTAACAAGTTCCCTTCCACTTGTGACCTTCATGTTATTGTTTTCATTTTGGCCTTAACAACAGAAAACTGTTGAGGAAGCAAGAACAGAATAGCTGTTTGATGTTTCTTGATTAATAGCTCCAGGAGTCTTGGAAACATCTCCCAGGAAGTTGGTGTGCACATTCCCAGTGACCAAACACCCTTTAGCCAGTGAAATGTGACCCAGTGCAGAATGGGATAGGAAGATTAGTCAGTCCTAAATGAGAAAGGAAGAGAAGTTGCTCTAGGTTTCCCCAATTTGCTGCCTTAGTTTCACTCCAGATTTCTATCAACCACTAGCCTATTCCCATTGACTGACCTTGTACTTAACTACTTCCAGCAACTAATTTCACAACTCCTTTGCTTCTTTTTACTCAAACAAAACTTCTATCAGGTTCCATTCTGCCAATGATTGCATTATGCTTAGCTGTTCCAATCAAGCTTAGAGTGCCCTTCCCCTGTTTTGAGAGAGATAATCCTTGTTCTTTCAAGAATCAGAATGCTTATTTGTCTTTGTTTTGAGTGGATAATTGACTTTATCTAAGGATATGAAGTCAAGTTGCTTTGGTGCATTTTAGTGTCAAGGACAAACAGCAGTGTGCTCTTTTGTTTAAGTTTCCCAACAACACCATTCATCTGCAGGAGAGATGGAGAACATCTGACTATTCAAAGACTTCAGTTTTGAAAAGCCTCAGTCAGAACAACTGCAAGAATTGGGGCCTAAAAGTATCTGAAGAACCATGAGTTCCCCAACTTCAGTTAGCGCAGTGGTGAAGAAGCAGGAGAATCTAGTTTTGTGGAGCTGTTAATTTATTTATTTATTTATTTATTTACTTTGCTTATATACCGCTGTTCTCAGCCTAGGGGCGACTCACAGCGGTGTACAACATAGAAAAAACAGATCCAAAATTCAAGACACAATCTAAAATATCATCTAGCAATAATCAAAAACATCCTCATCAAGAACATCAACAATATCAATAATACAAAAAGCCATTCACGTCGTCTCATCGTTTAACCACAATCCAGTCTCATTTTCCGTTGTTCCATTCCTGTCATAATTACCAATTATTGCACTTCTTGTTCGAACGCCCTTCTGAACAGCCAAGTCTTTAATTTCCTGCGGAATATCATCAGGGAAGGAGCCAGTCTGATGTCCACGGGAAGGGTGTTCCACAGCCGAGGAGCCACCACCGAGAAGGCCCTGTCTCGTCCCCGCCAGGCGTGCCTGTGAGGCAGGCGGGATCGAGAGCAGGGCCTCCCCGGACGATCTCAAAGTCCTGGTGGGCTCGTAGGCCGAGATGCGGTCAGATAGGTATCTTGGGCCGGAACCGTTTAGGGCTTTATAGGCCAACACCAGCACCTTGAATTGAGCCCGGTAGCAAATCGGCAGCCAGTGGAGCTGGTACAACAAGGGCGTTGTATGCTCCCTGCGTCCCGCTCCTGTTAGTATCATGGCTGCCGCACGTTGGACCAATTGAAGCTTCCGGGCCGTCTTCAAGGGCAACCCCACGTAGAGAGCGTTGCAGTAGTCTAAACGGGATGTAACCAGAGCGTGGACTACCGTGGCCAAGTCAGACTTCCCAAGGTACGGGCACAGCTGGTGCACGAGCCTAAGCTGTGCAAATGCTCCCCTGGTCACCGCCAAGACCTGGGGCTCCAGGCTCAGCGACGAGTCCAGGATCACACCCAAGCTGTGATCACACCCAAGCTGTGTGTTTATTGCCACCCTGTCCTAACTACTGAGAACAGCTTTTAAAGTAAAGAACGACACTTAGAAACATACTTTGCATGAACTAGTTTCCAAATAAAAGGTAAAGGTAAAGGTTTCCTATGACATTAAGTCTAGTCGTCTCCAACTCTGGAGGGTGGTGCTCATGTCCATTCCTAAGCCAAAGAGCCAGCGTTGTCCATAGACACCTTCTAGGTCATATGGCCAGCATGACTGCATGGAGCACCGTTACCTTCCCTCAGAAGTAGTACTTATTGATCTACTGACATTTGCATGTTTTCAAACTGTTAGGTTGGCAGAAGCTGGGGCTAACAATGAGAGCTCACATGTTTAAATTGGTGAGATACCAATGGATTAAGGGAGACTGGGAGCCCAATCTGAAGCATGTTTACTCAGAAAATAATGACCCCATTGAGTTTCACTGGACGCACTCTCAGTTAAGTGCAAAGGAAGCACCAGAGGCATTCCAATGAACTTGATGGATAAATACAGTGGACGTTTGAACTTGTGCTTTTCATACTCTTATCATTCACTATCCATTTTCTAATGCTGAATCAGTGGAGAGAGTACTTCTGGTTACTGTCTTTTTTCCTTTCCTAATTATTATTTATTTATTTATAGGCCGCCCTGTCTCCGCAAAGTGACTCAGGGCAGCTTGTATGTATTGTGATTTTTCTTGCCACATCTGTAGTTATTGTTCGGCTACCAGATATCCTTGTCTGAAAAGAGTTGTACCTGTTGTATACCTACCAGCCAGGCAGTTAATACAGCTATGGACCATCTGTGGGAAGAAGATAAAAAGACACTGTTCAGCAAAATTATAGTTTTGAAATCCTTCCAATTTTCTAAATGGCACCAGTCACAATTATGCGTCCACTAATTACTACATTCCATACTGTCACACCTGAAAAGGCTGCCGTGTTTGGAGAAACTAAGGAGGCCTCTTTTAGAATGGAAGTAAGGGTTATCTTTGATGCATCCTCAATCTGTTTTCACCCCTTTGGATTATAATTGAGATATTAGGAAAGGTTGTTTGTTATAATTTATGACTACCTGCCAGACTGAAAACGTTTCAAAACACCTTTGCACCCAAGCCAAGGCAGGGTTTCAGTACTGTACAAATTCTCTGGCTGCACAATATGATTAATTTTTAGCCTAAAATCCTGAGTTCAGTGGGTTGTTGTAGGTTTTTCCAGGCTATATGGCCATGTTCTGGAGGCAATTTTTCTCCTGACATTTCGCCTGCATCTATGGCAAGCATCCTCAGAGGTAGTGAGGTCTGTTGGAAGTAGGAAAAATGGGTTTATATATCTGTGGAATGACCATGGTGAGACAAAGGACTTTTGTCTGCTGGGGCTAGATCTGTATGTTTCAGCAGGACAATTTCAACAGAAAGGAAGAAACCATGAAAATGAACAAAATCTGGCTACCAGTATTAAAGGACTCAAAAATCGCAACAGCAAAACAACAGAGGGGAAACAAACAGGCACATAAAATCACTCTCAACAAGGAATTCCCCCTGGGCACTTGCAAGCCATTGAATGCAAATCAAGGTGATCAGCTGAAACATTCACAGCTAGCCCCAGCAGATAGGGGTCCTTTGTCTCACCGTGGTCATTCCACAGATATATAAACCCATTTTTCCTACTTCCAACAGACCTCACTACCTCTGAGGATGCTTGCCATAGATGCAGGCGAAAGGTCAGGAGAAAAATTACCTCCAGAACATGGCCATATAGCCTGGAAAAACCTACAACAACCCAGTGATCCCGGCCATGAAAGCCTTCGACAATACATCCTGAGTTCAGTTTAAGTTCAGCTGAAACTGTCCTAGCTGGAAATAACAACTGCTTAGTCC